GTTCATTTTTGCTTTTGTTTTCCTTGCCTCCAGAGACATGTTGAGTAAGAAGTTGCTGCAGGCAAGATCAAAGAGGTTTTTGCTTGCTTTCTGCTCGAGGATTTTGATGGTTTCCTGTCTTACATTTAGGTCTTTCATACATTTTGAGGGTTTTTTTTGTGTATGGTGTAAGAAAGTGGTCTAGTTTCATTCTTCTGCATGTTGCTGTCCAGTTTTCCCAGCACCATTTGCTGGCAAGACTGTCTTCATTCCACTGGATATTCTTTCCTGGTTTGTCAAAGATTAGTTGTCCATACGTTTGTGGGTCCATTTCTGGATTCTCTATTCTGTTCCATTGATCTGAGTGTCTGTTCTTGTGCCAATACCATACTGTCTTGATGATTATAGCTTTGTAATACAGCTTGAAGTCTGGGATTGTGATGACTCCAGCTTTGGTTTTCTTTTTCAAGATTGCTTTGGCTATTCGGGGTCTTTTCTGGTTCCATACAAGTTTTAGGATTGTTTGTTGTAGCTCTGTGAAGAATGCTGTTGTTATTTTGATAGGGATTGCATGAATGTAATTGAAAGCCCCAAATACAAATGTATCAGTTTTCTAGCATCAGAAGAATCATCCATCATGATCATGTAGGGTTCATACTATTAAGTGTAAGAATGCCTTAATGTTAGGAAATCTTTTTAAAGAACACAACATATCAAAAGATCCAATGAGAAAAAATATAATCACAATAGATAAGAATTGATAAAAGGTAGCACTCGTTTCTGATTAGAAAACTAGTCCTAGACAACTAAAACCAGAAAGACATTCCTTCACTGAAATAAAGGTATCTAACTTTTTCTCCTGGTCAAGCTTATTCCAGTTCAAAGGATAAAAGTATATTCCATATATCCCTAGCCTTATCAATCTGTGACTACAAAATATACTTTTATGTAATATAGGAAATAGTATGGTAAAAAACCATAATAATGTACTCCCAGTTACTTCCGGAAGTTTCTCAAGGTATTCTGTTATATGTACTGCAGAGCACATTTCTCCTTCCTCACATCTTTCCAACTCACATCTTTCCAACTTGGCCACCATATAGCTGCCATCTTTCCAACTTGCTCACATCTTTCCAACTTGCCACCATATAGCTGCCAATAACTCTAGTTAGGTAGAGTATGTCCAGTATGCTTGGCATACCTGTTTCTATGCTCAGGAAAAAATTGCACCCAGTAGTTCTTTTTTTCTTTCTTTTTTTTTGCTATTTGAGTATAAAAATGAAGATACTTCTAATATTGCCTTAGAGCTTTAGTAATAAGTAGTTTTATAAAATCAAATTGTCTACTCCATTGTGAAGCTGTTAATATGAATTTGCCCTAATAATAAGCTGAGTAAGGTTTAAATTTTGAAACCACAGTAAATGAATGTTTTACATCACTATTTTAAAGCCTTTATTTTAAATTATTTTTTCTTTTTTTACCACAGCCCACATTAAGAAGAGGGAGTGGATGGGTGAGCTAGGTGAAGGGGATTAAAAGATACAAACTTCCAGTTATAAGTCACAGGGGCGTAAAAAGTACAGCATAGGAAGTAGAGTCAATAATATTATAATAACTTTTTATGGTGACAGATGGTAACTAGACTTATGGTGATAGTTTGTAATGTATATAAATGTTGAATCATTATGTTGTATACGTAAAACTAATATACTATTATATGTCAATTATACTTCAATAAAAAGTATCTCTTATATTGTGACTCAGTACATACTCATACACAAACATTCTCTATATGTGTATTTACATAATTAGAAGTTTCATAGAAGTTACCAAGGATCTATGCAAAATACTCATATTATCCTCTTAGAATTAAAAAAAATTGATGTCAACCCACCAAATTGATTTCCCTAGACCATGCTTTTCAGCAATTTATGGTTATTAAATTTTGAAAGATGAAAATCCATTGGTTTTTAGAAATATGTCCTAATTTTGTTATAAATATTAACTTTTCATGTATAGGCAGGATGCTTTCGGTGCTAACTCTAAGTTTTTCTCTAACTTATAGGAGGGTGACAGAATCAGAAAGAACCTTCTAAATTATTGTTTATTTTCTTTCTGCAGCTCTCATGTGTGAATATAAGTATAGTGCATCAGTACTGTAAAGACCTCACCAACTGGAAGTTACAGTTTTCACCATCAGCTTACCTTATCCCTTTTGGTCTGGTTCTTTTCCTCAAGGAGTGGAAACTTCTTTCCTTCAAGTTGCTTTAGTTGCAGAGTTAAGCAAATGGCCAATAGTGGGTTTGGTAAACAATGTGCAAAATGCTCCAACTGTTCATCTACTTCTAAGCAAGATGTACTGTATGTATGTGCCTGTAGAAGAAGGCTTTCTCCAATCTCTGTGGTGGAAATGTCCCAAGAATCAAGCATGGGCAGCTCAGAATATGAAGTTTCAGCAGACAGAAAAAAAGAAAACCAACCCATCACAGATAGTGCCTCTGGGAAAGTTATGGTAAATATTGAAGTTTCTATATCCCAACACAAGTTGACATCCTATTTCCTAATCCCATCCTTAGCTTGATCCATATCCCTTGGTACCTTGTCAGCCAAATCATTGCCTTCTTAACTATTAAAGGAACATTTATTGCTTATGTGAGAGGTGAGCAAAATTGGTTAGTAATTTCTTTTATGATAATTCCATCCACTGTTGAGTTATTTTCCATGATCACAAATAATTTGGAATGTTATTCCAGCTTCTTTAGTTTTTAATGGTTTATACAGAAATGAATTGGCTTTCAAATTGGATTAAATCTGGGGGCGCCTGGGTGGCTCAGTCGGTTGAGCGTCCGACTTCAGCTCAGGTCACGATCTCGATCTCGCGGTCCGTGAGTTCGAGCCCCGCGTCAGGCTCTGGGCTGATGGCTCAGAGCCTGGAGCCTGCTTCCGATTCTGTGTCTCCCTCTCTCTCTGCCCCTCCCCCGTTCATGCTCTGTCTCTCTCTGTCTCAAAAATAAATAAATGTTAAAAAAAAAATTAAAAAAAAATCGGATTAAATCTGAATTTGGGCCATTGTTATAGTGAAATATAGGGTGGTTATTATTTATGACAATTTCTGGTTATCTAGATGGAATATCAAATATACTTTGCAAAGCTGATGTATGTTAGTTACAATCTATGACTACCTGGTAGGATTGGTTTGCGGGGTATTTTACCTTTATGGAGAAGAGGCAGTATGGAAGATTGTAGTTGATACAGCACAACTTTGGAGACTGAGAGCAGTAAGTTTTATATTTATTTATTTATTTATTTATTTATTTATTTATTTAAATATGAAATTTATTGTCCAATGGTTTCCATACAACACACAGTGCTTATCCCAACAGGTGCCCTCCTACCCCCCATCAACCTCTCGTTATTTCCCTCAGTTTTAAGAGTCTCTACGTTTGGCTCCCTCCTCTCTAACTTTTTTTTTTTTCTTCCCTCCCCCATGGTTTTCTGTTAAGTTTCTCACGATCCACATAAGAGTGAAAACATATGGTATCTGTCTTTCTTTGTATGACTTATTTCACTTAGCATAACACTCTCCAGTTCCATCCATGTTGCTACAAAAGGCCATATTTCATTCTTTCTCATCGCCAAGTAGTATTCCATTGTGTATATAAACCACAATTTCTTTATCTGTAATCATCAGGTAAGTTCTGATGGATTTGGGATGCAGGTTATCATGTAGACTTGCCTGGATTCAGGTGACTAGATTGAATGGCTGGCTTCTTATAGTCTCTTCTAGCGTAATAAGCCAATGAATCATATAGGACTTAGAATTTTAAAAAAGACAATAAAAAGCACAATATTTCTTTTATACAATAAATATCATAGCACACATTGAAAAACAAAAAAAAGACAATATTTCTTTTACACAATAAATATAGCACACATTAAAGATTTGTCATATTATTTAAATTAGGGTTCTTATTTTGTCAAGATACAAGTGTACTGTATTTGTACTACAAATATATCTTAATTTTTTTATTCCTTTTGGTGTAAGCCCTCGAAAACCTCCAATGTGGAGAGAAAAACGTCTCAACAACAATGGAGTCGGGGAAACATTACAGAAGGAAAAGTTCCTCACATAAGGATGGACAACGGAGCTGCTATTCGGGTATATAGAAAGCAAACTGAAACTTCTAGGAACTTGTAACTCAATAGTTAGTGGCAAAAATGATTTAAAAATTCGTTTCTAAGGAAAGGAAGGGAAGAAAAGAGAAAATTAATCAGTTTCAAGTATGCCGAAGTCTTTACCAAAGAAAATCCAGACTAATTATTTTTTCTGCTTATAGTGAACCAAATAGACTTTAATTAAAGCAGAGGACATTTTTAGTAGTAAAATGAGAACATTTTGGTCATTATGTCTTGCCTGTTGCTGAGAACAATCTTGGGGTCTTTGTGTAGACCTCTTGAAGACAGAGAAAGACCAGATGACTTGAAATGGTTTGGCTGTTCATTTCCTTGATGACTGGTACTGAGGCCAGAATTTTCCTCATGGACCCCTCCATTTTTTCTAGACTGTGATGGGATGAGTACCAATATTACTCTTCTAAGGATTCTAATTATTATGGTTTGAATATTATTACCATTTTAGAAATTAACATGTGTTCCTTTAACATCACATTAAAAGAACCACAATAAGAACAACTAGAAGAAGAAAATTGAATTAACATTAAATAACTTTTTTTTGACATTTATTTATTTTTGAGAGAGAGAGAGAGAGAGAGAGAGGTGGAAGGGCAGAGAAAGAGGGAGACACGGAATCTGAAGCAGGCTCCAGGCTCTGAGCTGTCAGCACAGAACCCTATGCAGGGCTTGAAGTCATGAACTGTGAGATCATGACCTGAGCCAAAATTGGTTGCTTAACTGACTGAGGCACCCAGGCGCCCCAACATTAAATAACTTTAAAAGTGTGTTAAGAGGTGTTTGACAATTTACTTGAAGTGATCAGATAAACTTCCTGAGAATTCTAACTTGAAAAATTTAATTCTCCCACTTTAAATAAAAGGCCTGTATTTTTTGGGGGGGATGCCTGAATGGCTCAGTAGGTTAAGTGGCCGAGTCTTGGTTTTGGCTCAGGTCATGATCTTATGGTTCATGGGTTCTAGCCCTGCACCCGGCTCTACAGTGATGGCACGGAGCCTGCTTGGGATTCTCTCTTCCTCTCTCTCTGCCTCTCCCCCACTCACTCTCTCTGTCTCTCTTTCAAAGTGGATAAATAATTTTAAAAAAATAGATAAATAACCTGTATTTTTAAAAAATCCACAACTTTACTGAATTTTAAATTTAGCCCTAAGAGCTTTTATAAAAGCAAAATATGTTCATTGTAAAATATTAGGAAAATATAGATAGAAAAGTGAAGAAAATAAAAATCATGAGCCAGATATAACCGAATTTAAAATTTATTACTTTTATTTTTTCTATACATGTATGTCTTACTCTATTTTTTTCTTTCCAGTTTTTTTCCTGTTTTAAATTATGAAACATTTCAAATATATACATATTTTTAAGGAAATAATCTTAACTAGCATAACTGAAGTTTTTCTTGTCCTATTAAATGGACAGGATCATTTTAAAGTTTGTAAACATTTTGGAAGAGTATAAAAAAGGAATTAAAGTCATCCAAAATTCTACTATCCAGTGATAGCTACTCTTAATGTTTAGATGACCATCTTTCCAGATATCAATGTCAGCACCTTCACATACCCACATTTTCATAATGGGATCATATCATACATGCATTCATACTCTACACTATATCATTCTATGTCAATAAAAATAGATCTACATTACCATTTTTATAGCATCCTCTTAAGATTATTACAAACAAGAAGTAATTTTCTCCTTATTTTCACCACTATGTAATTATGTCAAAGCAGTTAGTTGAAGAAAAAGATTAGTTTATAAAACTAGTTGGGCAATAGAGCTATTTCTATATCCATTCCTCATTTAAAATATCCTATTTAAACAGTGTTAAAATACTGTGTCCAAGTTGTGGTTCTATATGTTAAAAAAGCAAATGAGAGTTTTCTCATTTAAAGAACAAGAAAAATTGGAGAAATAGTTATATAGTTTATATCATTTTGTTCTGTGGAAAACAAAAGGGATAAATGACCATTTAAATTGAGATTTTACTCATTTTTCATAATACATAATTGGGAGTTACATATAAATATAATAAAAATAAAATATTTGTCTTTTTTTAGTCATAGTTCTGATATTGATTCTCACCGTTAAGTGGTTGTAGGAAGAAGGAAGGGAAAAAGTAATTATAAATCACTGAAAGTCCCATCTTGGGAACCATCACCTGGGCAGGATGTACCCTATGTGAGTCCAGGAGTTGCCATTTGCATCATTCAAGACCATAAATCCAACATTCTTACCCCAGGGTTCAACTCCACATAACTGGTCTGTCACTTCTCACAGGTGTATATATGTAGAAGGTTCCTGGCTGGCTGGCTTACTGACTGAATTTGTTGACTGAGTCATTCATTTACTGATTCATTCATTCATTCATTCATTCCATATTTGCACTGCTGTTCCTGTGGAATGCCTTCCTTGCTTTGTTTGCTTGGATGATAGAAAAAAGATTCTCGATTATTTGCTCTTGTTCCCTCACATGCTGATCTCAGAAGCCATCTCTTTTGTAATGTTTTCCCCTATTCTCCCAGTATTTTAGCTGTGGTGTCTGGCCCCAATGTTGTTTTGTATTTTTTTTTTTAACTTAAGACTTTATAACTTAAGTGATAATCTTGTCTCTTGAGTAGCTTACAAATTCTGAGAAAACAGAAATTGTGTTTTATCCATTTTTGTACAAAATATGTACACAAAGAACTATCTAAGGAAAGTCTAACATGTTGAAGCCAAACATTTCTTCTTTCTTCCTTCCTTCTTTCCTCCCTCCCTCCCTCCGTGTCTCCCTCCCTCCCTCCCTTCCTTCCTTCTTTTCCCCACTATGTGCTAAGCATGAATGTTTTACCTACAAAGTTTCAGGGTAGGCTTTTTAAAGGATACAGAAGAAACAGCTTCTTAAGCTTCTAGACCATCTTGGAAGAAAAACATGAACCAAAGTATTTGTAAGAAAGAGAGTAACAATAATATGTGAGGACCAATGCATACATACTGAGGGAAGTCAAAATAATGGGACAGTTACCAAGGTGCAAAGTCGGGGAACTCCTTCATGAAGGAGATAAGTAATTAGTTGGGCATTAAATCTTCTTTTATGAAAGTAAGACAGGAACGTAAGCAGCAGAAGATATGAAGATTAGCAGCTAATTTATCTCTTGCACGGCAAAGGTGAAAGTGGTTGCAGAGAAATAGAGTAGCATCTCCAGGGAAGGCTTTGACTGCTGACCCAGCAGAGGCTTCACCTAGTGGCATTACTTTAGATGTTTTGTCGTATTATAGTCCCCAGGCATCATGTGTCCAGAAAGTCTTATTAATACCCTGATATTGATTTGGATCAAGGAGACTGCCCCAACCAAACAGGAAAAGAAAGTGTAAATGAGTTACATGTTTGTTATTTTACAATGAGAACCAGGATGCTGGTGTTGGCAAAAATAGTGCATTATTATTTTTTAAATAATCTTAACTTCTATTGGGTGCTTACTATGTTCTAGGTGCTATGCTTTTTTAAAAAAGTTGAAGTGTAGTTGACATACAATGTTACATTAGTTTCAGTTTCAGGTGTACAACTTAGTGATTCGACAATTCTACTCATTATGCTATGCTCATCATGGGAAGTGCAGTTACCATCAGAAGTTAAATAATATGTGGAAGGATTCTTGGTCTGGATAGTGTTACTATGGATGGTTTTTATTTTCTTCTCAGTGCTGACTTACATTAAAATTTCTGTCAGATACTGCTTTTTCTAAAACAAAAGGAATGAAACCACTAAAGTGCTTTTTAATAGAAATAATGAAGTAAAGAAAAAGTGTTAGTTGGTAAACGGCAAAGCAGCTATTCAGTGGTTAATAGGTGTTGATTTTATAATACAGCTCTCCGAATTTGGGGATAATTTCTTCGGTAAATGTATTTTATACACACAAGCACACATTCATGTATGCGTTAATATTCCATTCCTCCTCTTTCTTATGAAGACATTTCATTCATTGTAGTTTGTAAGAGATTCATCTTGATACTTTTGAGGTTTTCTGTATGTCTCCATTGGGATGTTCATGGTTTTTCCTCCAAAGGGCAATTAATGAGATTTGCCAAAACTCATTTTTGGTTAATTAATATCAAATAGGTGGCATCTTCTATTTGATTTTACCCTGGAGCAGAAACTCTCTTCCCTTGGTTGGGTATCTATCAGTATTATGCGTTCGTTTTTAATACCTGATGAATACCTGATGAAAGAGACAAAGGAGCTCTTATTTTTTATCCAGGAAATCTATACCTTTGGAAGAATATTGGGACAAGGGAGCTTTGGAATGGTCTTTGAAGCTACAGACAAGGAAACAGAAACTAAGTGGGCAATTAAAAAAGTGAACAAAGACAAGGTAAGACTTATTAGCAGCATCACACTGAGGGCACGGTGCCAGGGCAGGGTGGGGTAGGTGGTATAGTTTTCACACTAACAGCTGCCTCTGAGGGCAGGGCCTGGGCTGTTCCCCTGGATAAGTGTGGCCATTTCCCTAGCCTTCTGGGAAGGGACCTATTCTTGAACTCATGTATCTGGGAAAAGCAAATGAAGGATCAACTAATGTAACCAGTATGACCAAATAAGGGTAAAGTTCTTCGGAATGAGTTGAAAGTAAGGGCTGATTCTATGTCTGTGTAGCTGTAGGGCTAAGGGCTAGATATGGCTTAGCTAGACTGAAGTCTCAGTGTTCTCTCCCAGTGTAGTTCCAACGGCTTTCCTCCTATCCTTTCCTCTCCTTTGATTCCCTATATCCTCATTGTTAGCTAAGTCTCTGATTATTCATCCCACCTGCTCTTCCCGTTTGAACCACTTTTTCAGCAACTGTCAACTGTGCTGTTTACTTGTAGCCACTGTTTTTCTCACTGGATTTCTCCTGGAGTGGACAATGACTGGGCTTGTCTTTAAGAGAGAGTCTAGCTTCTCAGGCTTTACACCTGATCATTTCATCAGCTTTTAAAAAACCTCTGTGCCCGGGAAAAGACAAAAGATGGTGTTTTTTTTTCTTGGGTTTGTGATGATTAATATTACATTTACAAAGTGAAATAGTAAGTTTTATGTATTCTTTAAAACAGACTATAGAAAATTACATACCATTTCTCTCTAAAATTTAATAAAATAACATACAAATCCTAATAAAGGGAGATCTAGAGACTTTCTGGAAATCTTTAGAATTCTAGAACCATCGTGCTACATGGGATGTTGTTTCCTTTGCCCCTTTGGTGTCAGGGAGGGCTAGGGGTTAGATTTTAGGGTTATATAGTAGGGTACCTGCATGCAACTTTAGGATTTCAAAATCTTGCATACACATACTGATGATGAGCATTTATAGGCACTAATATAGTAAAATAAATTTATATACTCAATTTATGAATTGGACAATATATTTTACTGTATTATATGCAGGTTAGGCCATTTGGGGAGGGAGGTAGGAATGGAATTGAGACTTGTATTAGGAGAAATTGTGGTAACTTTCCATGTCTAGTCTGGATAAGAATTCACTCCTCACAGTTACTGTTTCTCTTGACCCTTTAACCTTTAATTGTTGACTTTCACCCTAGGGCGTAGTGGTAGGCAGTTTCCTACTCATTCTGAGATGGTAATGGTTGAAGGGTAAAGGTAATTGGATGCAGGGATGACTCTAGGTAAAATTTTAACTAGGTAAAATTTGCCATGTGATCCATCTTTTTGCAGTCCTTGAAGAACTATTACGCATTTTCTAACCTTGGTGGTGGCATGGGGGTGGGGCAGAGGGATAAGACCTTTGTCGTCCCTTTCAGGGATGTTTTTATGTGAATAAGGGCAATGCTGGTAATTTAGATATCAATAAGGGGGGATGATTGGGGTGGTGGTAATGGTGGTGAGGGTAGAAAAGGCCCTTCTAGAATTTCTGAGATGACTGTAGAAAATCAATTGTACCCTGATTTGCGCTCCCTGGGATGTGCCTGCCTTTGCCTTTTGCCATCAGGTATGGTTAAAGGTTACACGTAAGGAGATAAAGCTGGAGTTAGGTTGGTCTGAAGGTAAGATCTCTCTGGGGTCTGTGCTGAAAGCTCAGAGCCTGGATCCTGCTTCGGATTCTGTGTCTCCCTCTCTCTGCCCCTTCCCTGCTCGTGCTCTGTCTCTCTGTCTCTCAAAAATGAATAAACGTTAAATAATTTTTTTTGAAGGTAAGATCTCTCTCTCTGTCTCTCTCTTAGAAGCTGGGGGTATCAGGAAGTGACATATTGCAGGGCTAGGTGTAGAATCTCACTGCCTATTTTGTATATAAATACAAACATATAAATATGTAAATAAAAGCATATATATATATATATATATGCACACATATATCTTCAAAACAAAACAACAAAAGAAAAACATTTTGTTTTTAGCTTCTCCAAATGATGTCACTGGAAAGTAGATTTTGGTTTTATTATGCTAACATCACAGGATTAACATGATTTTGAAGGAAATACCAAAAGGCATTTTAAAAACTGGAACAATTCTCTCAGGGGACAGAGACCATGTTGTGGTTAATTTATAGAAACAGTCCAAGAAACAGATGTGGCTTGAGGCCAAATTATATATAACTTAAAATTGGACAAAGGAAAGAAGGGCCATAATTTAATCTTATCGTGGAAATTAGTTGCATATTATCGTTTGGAAAGGGAACTTCTCCAGAAAATGTAGGAAAAGATATAAAAATGACTGTAACTTTTATATTGAGGTTTGTATTAGTGACATTCATATGTGAAATCTATGTGTCCTCATTGTGAAAGGCTGGAAGCTCTGCTGTGAAGCTACTTGAACGGGAGGTGAATATCCTGAAAAGTGTGAAACACGAACATATCATACATCTGGAACAAGTGTTTGAGACGCCTAAGGTAAGGCTTGTTCAGGTGCTGCACTTTGAAAGTTGTTACTATTACAGATGAACATCACTCCCTTCTGCAGTCACCCCTGTAGGGCACAGGTGTTCCTGTCCGTGGCATGTGTCTGTCACTGGAGATTGATGAGGGCATTCTGGAGGACTTTTATTATTGATTATATAATTAGGTGTCTGATGATTAGATTGATGTCTTTAGTGATATTTCTGGGTGGCTTGTTGAAAACAAATGTTTACAATTGAAGCAACTTCATACACAAACAGATAGTAATTAGAGCTTCCTTAGAGATGGCTTTCCTTTTGTTTTGGGCTTTGGTGTCTCCATTAGAATCTCTTAGAATATTGTTGTAATTTTGCAAGGTTAGCTTTATAAGAAAGTTGGCATGGGTATATTTGGCACTGTGTAGAAGATATTTTACCATCTGTGTTTTACCAATGTGTTTAATCTTCTTTCTTCCCTAGATGTTATCATTCCTCTCTTTAAATGCCTGTAATTTTTATTTACAGTTGTTCTGAAGCCTGAGTTATTTGCCATCGTGCCTCCAGATTGTTTAGTGCCTGTGGGTTTGGGCGTTTCTCTGCTTGGAGGCGGTATAATGTAGTGGTTAGGCATGTGGACTCTGGGCTCAGATCGCCTGTGCATTCGAATCCTGGCTCCACCACTTATTAGCCGGGAGACCATGTTGTTATCCAACCTCTCTATACTTTAGTTTCCTCATTTGTAAAATGGGTTTAATAATAGTATCGACCTCATTTGGTTGTGTGAGAAGGGAGACGACTCATTCTCAGAAATACCAAATAAAAGCTGTGCTGTCTAGTAACAGTAGGTTTACAACCTATTGGAAATATGTACAAATCTTCCCCACCCCCGCCCCCACACACAATGGAGTCCCAAACCATTAGACACTTCGCTTCCCGGTTCTTCTTCCCCTCTCCGTTTCTGGGGCTTATTTTCGTGGGCTTTGCAGTGAGCATGAGCCAAAGAACAAAGGGAGGAGGGACTGAAAGTCTCTGCGTCACCTCAGGGAATGTACATTTGTTCCAATCAGATTACTTTTTGCCTTACGCGGGTCTCGGCAATGCCCCGGTAAGGCTGTAACCTCTGTAGGTTCCTCAGCCAATGAGGAACCAGGGGAGGGACTCTTGTGCTAGGAAATAAATTATCTGCTGTCAATGCCCTGAGGGTGCCTGTCTGTCAGACACCCACTTGCAAGAATGTTGTTTAATTAAAGCCTCACTTCACTGTGCTCTGAGTCTCTGCATCCTTTGATTGGGCCGGTGGGTTTATTCCTTACAGTTGTTGAAGGATTAAATGGGAAAATGGATATAAAGCATCTGTCTCTTTAATTGTTAGCTATTGTTCTTTGTTGCCTTTTTCAGTTTCTGAGGCAGAATTAGTCAGTTTGGGTTATGTAGTATGCTTGATTCATTAGGAGTGCTTGATAACTACGAAAGGCCACAGTTATCCTTTATGGGAGCAGTATACGGCAATGATGCCAAAAGTCTGTTCTTTTTAGTCTTTGAGTTGTTATTTTTTAATCCCCAAATCATGTTAAAATAGTTTTGCTCTTTGTCATCAGTTTTAATCAATTGGATTATATTGTGCCTTGCTGTAGTTTTCTTTATGTTTCTTGTGCTTGGGGTTCATGGAGCCTCTTAGATCTGTGAGTTTATGGTTTTTATCAAATTTAAGCAAATCATTGGCCATTATTTGTTCAAATGCTTTTTCTGCCTTCTACTCCAAGTATCCATGTTAGAATGTTAGGTTGCTTGATGTTGTCCACAGCTTCCTTTTTCCTTTGTTTTCTTTGGTATACTTTTCCTTGCGACGTCTTCAGATTCAGTAATCTCTTTTTCTGTAACATCATGTGTGCTACTTATCTTTTCCAATGGAAATTTGATTTGATTCTTTTCTGTATCTTCCATGTTTCTATTTAACATGCTCTATATTTACTCCTCCTTAAATATAGTTATAATAACTTATAGCATTCTTTTCTACTAATTTTATCATACATGTCATTTCTAGGTCAATTTCAATTGACTGACTTTTTTTTTTTCCATTATGGGTTATATTTTCCTGCTTCTTTGTATGCCTGTTAGTTTTTGATAGATTGCTAGATATTTTTATGTTCTTATAACTACTCTTGAGCTTTATTGCAAGACATAGTTAGTTGGAAACAGTTTGATACTTCTGAAGCTTGTTTAAGCTTTGTTAGATGATACCAGAGCAGTCTTTGATCTAGGGCTAGTTTTTTCTTACTACAGAAGTAAGACCCTTTGAGAGTACTTTACCTGATGTTCTGTGAATTATGAGATTTTCCACTTTGGCTAATGGGAATACAGGCTCTTTCTGGCCACGTGTAAGCTCCAGTTATTGTTCCCTCTGCTCCTCTTGCATGGTTCTTTACCCAGCTTTGGGTAGTTCCCTCATACACATAAACTGAACAGGACTCTGCTGAAGACTTGACGGGGAGCCTCTGCAAATCTATGGAGCTTTCTCTGTGTACAGCTTTCTCCTCTTTTGGTACTCTGCCCTGTGAAATTTAGTTGTCTTGGCCTTCCTGGACTCCCTGTTCAATTTCCTCACTTCATGGAGACTGTTAGGCTCTCTTTGTATTCCTTCTCACTGCCTCATGGCCTACAGATCCTCTCTGGACAGTAAGGTAGGATGATCATGGGGCTTGGCTCATGTGTTTCCTCTCTTTCAGGAGTCATCACCCTATGCTGCCTAATGTCTAATGTCTGAAAATTGCTGTTTTATATATTTTGTCCATTTCTTAAGTTGTTTCAGGAGAGAGGGTCAGTCTAGTCTCTGTTACTCCATCTTGGGCACAAGTGGGAGTCCAAATCTAGAATAGTTTGAAGGCAGAGGAAATTATCATCTGTGATTGGTTTGTTGTGGTGGGTTTTTTTGTTTGTTTGTTTGTTTTTTAATGTACTGCTGGCCCTTGATTCACATAGGTCAGATCTGCTCCCTCTCCTTCCCTCCCCAACTCAAATACTTAGACCTTCTAGGTCATCTTAAAGATGAATGGAAATTGTTACCTGATTGGATAGACCATGGTATTAGAACTGTCATTAAGTCAGACTATGTTATGGTTTTTTTGTGAATCCAAATGTTCTCCAGATCTACACAATGATTTCTAATAATTATAAAAAGACTTATAAAAAACTTTTATTGATATACCTTTTATCAACTTTCATATTTAAACTTGACATCAATTTATGTTGTAAGCACGGCTAAAGTAACTCTTCTTTCCAAATAGTTCACATACCACTTATGATCCCTACAGTGCTATCAGTGGAAATACGATGGCATAGTTCAAAAGCTTATTTATGTGTTAGACTTTGCACAATTCTTTAGTTACTTTTGAAATTCCAAAGCATCCTGAGGTTTAGTGGATTTGAATTTTGACTGTTGGAAGAAAGGGTGTTAATCTTCTATTCCTGTTTTCATGCTTGCTGATTGAATACAGATGCTGCATTAGTAGCGGCTATAGGATAGAATCAGACCCCCAAATTAAAAAAGAAATTACAAAAATTTAGCTGTGGAGGATGGAATGGGGCCGTGGAGGGTAGTCTACGACTGAATAGCAACAGATATGAAAAAGGCTTGCATTTTAGTTGCCTGTGAATCTTTTTGACTCAAGAAATGACTTCTAGAAAACCCAAAGTGGTCTTAATATGCATCAACATAAAAAGCAAATATGGAAGAGGCATTTTTACCCCTGGCTTTTTCCTGCATATAACCAGTTAGTTACTAAGTCCCGCTATTTCTTCCTCCTAGGTAATTTTCATGTATTTTTCTTCTTCCCCTTCTTGTGTCCATTCGGTGCCTTGCATCTACCCCCCGTAAACAAAGGTCATCACACTATAGCATGCAAGCCCAATCTGGCATGCTGCCTATTTTTTTTATGGCCTGTAAGCTACGTTTTTTTACATTTTTAAATGGCTGGAAAAAATTTAAAGAGTAAATATTTGATGGCATATGAAAAGCGTATGAAACTAAAATTTCAAAGTCCATAGATAAAGTTTTGTTGTGTTGTTTATGGCTGCTGTTATGCTATAACAGCAGAGCTGAGTAGTTGCAAAAGAGATTGTACAACCTACAAAGGCAAAAATATTTACTATCTGGATCAGGCCTTTAGAGAAAAAGTTTGCTGAGCCCTGCTCTACATTGCTGTTAGAGTGTTCAGTTAGAAAGGCGGACTTAACAATAGCACACACCTTTCCCCCCACTCCAGACACCAGCTTAAAAGACTTCAGTGACTCCTTCCTGCATATGGGGGAAAAATTGCAAACTCCTCTGTGTGACATCCAAGAATCTTTACAACCTGGCACTAACCTGTTTTTCCTAGCCTCGCCCCTCTCCACTCCACTGTTCTCCACCCTACCAAACTCCCAGTACTAGTAACACTGAGATATCTGTTCTTCTTTCAACAGTCAGCGCTGTTTCAATCTTTGGAGTTTTTGCGAATACCATGTGTTAATCCTGTTCTTACCCCCATTCTCTAAGCATAAGTCCCGATTCAGGTATAAAAACCTGCGTTTAGTGTTACCTCCTCAGTGAGCATTCTTTAAACAGAGGCTCCTTTCCTCTGTAACCTCATGGCATTTTGGCTATACTTCTTTGATTAACACGTACCATACGATATTGTATTTGTGACTATACTGTGAACTCCTTCAGGGTTAAGATCTATGCCTTATGCCTCGTTGTTCCTCTGGCATCCTGCAGAGTATCTTGTGCATGATAGGTAATAAATAATTTTGAATGAGTAGATTGATGATTTAGATTATGATAATATTTCTACTATGTATGTGCAATATATAACATTTTAAAAATTCTCAACTGTATAATTTGCCCTCTCTCTCTCTTTTCAAAAATACAATGTCAGAAAATGTACCTGGTGATGGAGCTTTGTGAGGATGGAGAACTCAAAGAAATTCTGCATAGGAAAGGGCATTTCTCAGAGAATGAGACAAGGTGGATCATTCAAAGTCTCGCATCAGCTATAGCATATCTTCACAATAAGGGTAAGAAGAGGGTCATTCGGCTCGTTGACTCCATGAATGCAGACAGCACTTTTGTTTAAGAGTGATTGTATTCAGGATTCATAGTCACAGAAATAATCCCCACTAAAACAGAAAATTTTATTTTAAAAAACTTTCTAAAGTTTTTTTCTTTTAAAAACTTTAATTAAATATAATAAATATATTTTAATTAGAAACAAGGCAAGTATACATTACATTGTACACGGACAAGGATGAATATTTCTATTCAACACTTTGAAAAGCTGCTAATCTTATCAAAACAAAAGTAGACAAGTCAATAATAAAAGTGAAATTTCAAAACACTTATATTGTATGGAAGTGTTGAATCACTAGACGCCTGGAACTTATATTACACTATATGCTTATATACACTACACGCTAACTGGAATTTAAATAAAAATCTATATATTCTGTGTGTGTGTATATATATATATTCTATATATTAAAATCTATATATTCTAGGCTTTTTTGTTGTTTTTTAGATTTAATTTTTACAGTAGTTTTAGGTTTGTAGCAAAACTGAGCAGAAGGTATAGGGATATCCCGTCTACCCCTGTCCATACATGCACAGCCTCCTCCGGTTAGCAAGATCCCCACCAGAATGGTACACATGTTACAACTGATGAGCCTACACTGACACCCTGTTATCACCCAAAGCCCATAGTTCACATCAGGGTTCACTCTTGGTGGTGTACATTCTGTCGGTTTTGAGAAACATATAATGACATGAATCTGCCATTCTAGTATCATACAGAATAGGTTCACTACCTTAAAAGCCACATGTAAAAATTATTCTAATTGCTTTACTGTTCTTTGATGTTACTGCCACTACTTTTCCTCAGGCACCTCCTTTTTCTCTTCAAGGTTAATTTGGCCCTCACGTGACTTTAACACCTTCTCATTATACAGATGAGAGAAAAGTTTGTTCCAGAGAGGTGAAGTGACATGGTGAGGTGTGGCAGAGCTAGTATTAGAATGGACCCAGGGGTCCATTCCGCAGATATTTCCTGAGGGAGTTCTACATGTGGTTGGATCCAGAGTTAGAAAGATTAAAAGACAAGGCCCCGCCCCTTAAGGAACTCAGCCTAGTGGGAGATTGAGTATAGAAAGCAAACTGTAATTCAATGTGATAATTTCTCTAATGGAGAGCCATATACAGTGCAAGGAGCATAGGAATGTAAGTGCCTCAGTTGACCTGAAAAGCCAGAGAAGGATTCACAGAGGAAACAAATTTAGGCTGAGGAATACAAATTCAGACAAAAAAGAGGGGAGGGCTTTCCAGGCAGGGGCAACAATTTTTGCAAGGGCAGGAAATCAAGGGCTTAATATTATATGAATGTCAATCCTCCCACACTGAGCTTAAATTCAGTATAATGCCAACCAAAATTTCCACAGGATTTTTCATGGAACTTGATAAAATTATTCCGAACTGGGCAAGAATAGCAAAGAAAACAATTATAAAGAATGATGGAGGCAGTAGGGAGACTTATTGGGTGGTATTTATGTCAGAAGAGATAAATAAGCAAAGTAACGGAAACATAAAAATTCCAAAAACACAGGCTGGGAACTGGGTAAGGGAACTATAAGTGATTAGGTAGAATTGCCATTCCAGGGCTCTTCAGCTACATTTTTCCAGCAATTGTACGTGTAACTTTTTTAAGTCTGGGGCAATGATTGCTATGGATATGAAGTGAATTAGTCACTTGCAGAGGAAATGTTTTGGCACATGATTATTTGCATGTACATAAAATCTTACCTGATGTTTGACATGTTCAACTGGAGATTTTGTGTCTCGGGGTTTTCATTTGTTTGCTTTGTATTTTAACATATAAAGAGTTAGGAAAGTTTGTGCTTATGTTGTAGAAAAATATATTGAAATGAGTGCAGTTTGTATACATGTAGTTAAGTTGCAGTATGTTAAATGTTTATATTGGCAATAACATATGCATGGAAGTAAAGAAGTAATCCTCTATTTGAAGACCTAAGGATATGGGAAACCTTACTGGGGTTGTAACTACAATGGTCTCCCTCCTCTGGGAATGCCGGATTTTGGGCAGGATCCTCTGTCCCACTCATTAGGCCACCAGTCATGAAGAGCATCTGCTAGAGCAGTAGGGGGATGGGGGAGAGGACAGAGTTAAAGAAAAGGGCCGCTTAAAGTTAAACACATGGAGAAAAGGGATTTGAATAGAAGGAAATAGAACAGGACAGAATTGTGCTTGGCCCTCCCCAAAGTTTTGTATGTATGTATGTATGATTTATTTATTTATTTATTTATTTATTTATTTATTTATTTATGTATTTATTTATCCAAAGTTTTTAACAGTGGACATTAACTTGTCAGCTATATATATTTGTTATATTTGTATCCCCTCTATTCTCCTGTCATTCACTATTCCTTTGATTTGTTGTTTCTTTTCTTGGTAGATATAGTACACAGAGATCTAAAACTGGAAAACATAATGGTCAAAAGCAGCTTTACTGATGATAACAACGAAATGAACTTCAATATAAAGGTAAGATAAGGTATTAGAAATCATGGTAAATATTTGCCTGTAAACAGTTTGATAGCAAAGTGGCAAAGTACATCCTCTTTTTAAATATATTTTGGAAGCTTTTGAGCAGCCAGAAAATAAGTGTCTTGTGCTAAAAAAAATAAAAATAAAACTTGGGGCACCTGGGTAGCTCAATTGAGCATCCGACTTCGGCTCAGGTCATGATCTCACGGCTCATGAGTTCAAGCCCCACATTGGGCTCTGTGCTGACAGCTCGGAGCCTGGAGCCTGCTTTGACTTCTGTGTCTCCCTCTCTCTGCCCTTCCCCAGCTCGTGCTCTCTCTCTCTCTTTCTCAAAAATAAATAAATGTTAAAAAATTAAAACAAAATAAAATAAAGATAAAATTTTTACAAAAGAGGTTGTAACTGACAAGAATAATTTTACAAGTTAGGTAGTGCTATTGAATCTTTTTTAAAGTAGATATTCATTTGGATAGTTCTAAATCATTAGTTAAAGAAGCAAACAGATGCTCTGAATTCTAATTAATTTCAAATTTATGCCTGGTAATTTGATGTAAATGTGTTACAGATTTAGAGGAAAAAAAAAACACCTTGGCTGTGCCTTTGATACTAAATTAACACTAAAGTCTGTATTTCTCATTGAAAATTTTCCTGGGTATTAATATTTATGTCCTAAGCACAATTAATGTGCCAAGTGTTTATTCCTCAAGATTTTATTCAAATTAAGTGTTCCTTAATGTCAAATAAATGATAGGATACATTATTTATTACTTAGCACTTTAATAGTGGCTGCTTTCAAAATATATGGATGTGTTAATTTAGGAATAAAATGTTGTCTGTGAATAACTCACTTTGTTGCAGAAGCTAAATCCCTATGTAATATAAGTGAGTTTAACAGCATTGTTGTTTTACCAAAGTAAATAAATATTCTTGAATATTTTCATTTTAAACTCTGTGAGGGCAGGAATCATACATGTTTTATTGATTGTTGGTACCTAGAGTAATGTCTGAAAACATAGTATGTGCTCACTTAATATTTGGTAAATGAGGGAATGATTGCTCTCTAAAGAACTGAATTGATCGTGAAACCTTTTGTATATTTGATATCTGTGTAGATTTTCTGTGGAGAAAAGATACATATTATAATCCTCCAAGTGAGATAATTGTGAAAACTCCTGGAGAAATCGATCATTCTGTTTAGAAAAATAGTGGTATCACGTACTGATAGGAACATTTTCTACTCCAGAAGGCCCTGGAAACTTTGCATTCAGTGTCTGTGGACCACGAGCCTATCTTTGGTTGTATGATCAATAAATGTGCCTGTTTTTTTGCTTTCAGCCCAAGGCTGTTCCAACTTGGGAGACAAGACCAAGGGCACATACTGAATATTTAATAACCGACTGTGTCCTGACCACGATTTGGAACAGAGCAGGAAGAGCGCAGTCGCAGCAGGGCCTCCCGTGTATTTCTAGCTCCACGGTCGCCTTTTTTCCCTGTTAATTTGCTTCTTGTAGTTTTTAATAGCGTCATAATTGTTTTAGTTAGTATACTCTAGAAACACAAAGGAAGTCATAGCAAAGAGAGGATGGTATTTACCAGAGATAGTGTCTTATAAATAATTTTAAAAAGGGGGCCGTTTCTGTGAGTGCTGCCAAGGATAATGACTGCATTTATAACGGTGCTTTAAACTGGAACAGAGCTTGAGTGTCAGAAAAATAGAGAGTAAACCTACTAAGGCCAGAATGCATTCTACAATGAAAGAGGTTTTTAAAAATAACTTTTTTTTAATCTGAAAAAGCTAAATGCCTTCTTTCAAAATAGAACTTCCCATGTTGAGCCGGTAAGTTTAATTAGAAGGAACAATCAATCAATATCATGGGTGTTTGCTCCAGATAGGAGAAACCAGCCTTCTCTTTACCAACAAGGTTTTTCTTCTTCACAAAGAGGGGTGGAAGGGAAGTGAAAGCAAAGTCCTTATTAGTAATACAAATAAAACCCCTCCCTCCTCAAGAATCCCTGAATTAAATACAGTGCAATTACAATGCGGCAGAACTCCTACTTTCACACTTGATCTTAGCCAAAAGGCCGAGAAGCGATTAGAACTCCTACTTTCAGAATGAGTGAACTCTGGGACAGGAAACCAGGTGACTGGGTTTCTTCTTCTAGGTGACTGATTTTGGCTTAGCTGTGAAGAAGCAGGGTAGGAGTGAAGCCATGCTGCAGACCACATGTGGGACTCCTATCTATATGGGTAAGTTCATAGATTTAAAATGATCTTTCTATATAAAGGAGTAGAACAACTAATGTAGATTAAAACTTGAGCAATTTGAAAGAACTCCTAAAACTCAACACTGAAAGCAATCCAGTTAAAAAGTGGGCAGAAGAGTGGAATAGACACTTCTCCAAAGAAGACATCCGTATGGCCAACAGACACATGAAAACATGCTCAACATCATTCATCATCAGGGAAAAAAGCACATCGAAACCATGATGAGATACCACCTCACACCTGTCAGAATGGCTACTGTCAAAAAGACAAGTAAGTATTGGCGAGGATGTGGAGAAAAGGGAAGCCTTGTATGCTGTTGGTGGGAATGTAGATTGATGCAGCCACTGTGGAAAACAGTGTGGAGGTTAATAAAAATAGAAATGCCATGTGATACAATAATTGCACTTCTGAGTATTTACCTGGAGAAAACGAAGACACGGACTTGGGAAGATACGTGCACCTCCATGTTCATTGCAGCATTATTTATAGTAGCGAAGCTATGTAAGTAGCCTAAGTGTCATCGATAGAGGAATGGATAAAGATGTGGTATGTTTGAGTATGTGTAATTACTCAGCCATGAAAAAGGATGAAATCTTGCCGTTTGCAACAACACAGATGGACCCAGAGGGCATTATGCTAAGTTAAAGAAGTCAGACAGAGAGAGGAAAATACCATATGATTTCACTTAAATGTGGAATCTAAAAAAATAAAACAAATGAACAAACAAAACAAAACGGAAACAGACTCGTAGATACAGAGAACACACTGGTAGTTTTGGGGGTGATGGGCAAAATAAGTGAAGGGGATTAAGAGGTACAGTCTTCCAGTTATAAAATAAATTAAGTCACGGGTATGTAAAGTACAGCATAGGGAATATAGTCAATAACATTGTAATAACTTTGTGTGGTGATAGATGGTGACTAGACTTATTGTGGTGATCATTTAGTAACACATATAAATGTTAAATCACTATGTTATACACCTGAAACTAATAGAATGTTGTATGTCAACTATACTTCAATTTAAAAAAAAAGCAGTGGTGCGCTGCCTGGTATAGTCGGTTGTCAGCCCTGACTTTCAGCCAGGTCAATGACCATGTCTCAGAAGAAAAGTTCGAAGCTCCGTCAATAGTTGATGGCCTGGCTTTCCGGACGTCCGCTTTCATTCTCTGTGTTCCCCTCTGCCCCCTCCCCGTTCATCATACTCTGTCTCTATCCCAAAAATAAATAAACGTTGAAAAAAAAAAAAAAAAAAAAAAAAAAGCAGAAAAAGAAAAACCTGAGCAGTCTGATTTTGCTGTAATTTGACTTAATGGCCCTGTAATCAAGCTACTTTTTCTTTTCCTAGGTCAAATAATTTCATTGTTTTAGCATTTTTCTCACAGTTCTTATCTTTAAAGATTATAGTTTTTATTGGTTTTCTGGACTCTTCTTAGAGTGTTTATATCTCTTAGGTAATCATACCCCAAACTTAATTATTGGTTTTGTGAATTCGTGCTGAAATCATGTGTGTGTTTTGCTTCTTTCCATCTCTTATCCATTTTTATTGCCATCAAGTGGTACATCATAAAGAGTACCGATTAAATATATTTTGTAAAGCAACAGTTTACCATTTTTCCAAGTGTGATTTTTAACAGCTTTACTGAAGTACAATTTAAATGCCATAAAAAGTGTACCATTCAGTGATTTTTCCTGCATTCGCAGACTCGTGCAACCATCACCACAGTCCAGTTTTAGAGTAATTCTATCCCAGAAAATTGCCTCCTGCCCATTTGTACTCAATCTCATTCCCATCCCAGCCCCAGGTAACCACTAATCTTTTTGCCTGTCTGTATCTGCCTTTCCTGGACATTTCGTCTGACCGGAGTCATACCATATGTTGTCTTTTATGTCTGGCTTCTTTCACTGAAGCGTAATGTCTTTGCAGTACCTTCCTGTTGTAGCCGTAGTCTGTCCCTTTATGTTTCTGAACAGTTGTCTGTTGCATGGACATGCCACCTTTTGTTCATCTGTTAGCTGATGGCCATGCAGTGTGTCCAGTTCGGGGCTATTATGAATAATGCTGCTATGAACTTTTGGGTCCAAATTTTCATGTGGACATATTTTCTTTGGGCGCTACCTAGGAGTGAAGTTGCTGGGTCGTGGATTATTTCTGTTTAACTTTTCAAGAAACTGCCAAGTGGTTTTTCAGAGTGGCTATAGCATTTTACCTTTCCACTAGCATGTGGGTATGAGGGTTGCAGTTTCTTTTTGTCCTTGCTCACTCTTGATAATTACCTTTCCTTGTAATTATAGTCATTGTAGTGGGTGTGAAGTAGTATCTCATTGTGGTTTTTTAATTTGCTAATTTAATTTTCCTAGTGGCCAATGAGGGTGAGCATCTTTTCACGTAGCTGTGAGTCACTCATAATCTTTGATGAAATGTCTATTCAAATCTGTACCTAGGAGATGATTATGTATTTTTTCTCTTTAAATTTATTAGCAGACTAATTGCATTAATTGGTTTTTAAAATGCTGAGCTATCCTTGCACCTTTGGATTAAACTCCAGGTGGTTTAATATACTGCTCTATTCAACTCGTCACCACTTTATTTAGGAGCTTTGAATGTAGCTTGCTTTCTTTTGTGCTGCCCTTGTCTTTTTTGATGTTAGGGTTATGCTAGCCTCATTTAAAAAATAAAATGATCTGCTCATTAACCACAAAGTAGCAGAAATTATCTATTCATTAATAGTTTGATGATATTTCCCCTTAAATTTTTTTGGCCCTGATTCTGTTTGGTAGGTTAAGTTTCTATTATATTTTCAATTTATCCTGGGTTCTTCGTGTTTTCCACACCTTCTTGAATTGTTTTGATAGAAAATTGTTCATTATGTTGAGATTTTAAGATTTATTGGCATAAATGTGCATATTATATTCACTTATAATTTTGTTTTTAATTAAAAATCTTTTTATGTTTATTTATTTTGGAGAGAGACAGACTACTAGTGGGGCAGGGGCAGAGAGAGAGGGAGACATAGAATCTGAAGCAGGCTCCAGGCTCTGAGCTGTCAGCACAGAGCCCGGTGCCGGGCTCGAACCCGCGAACCACGAGATCATGACCTGAGCCAAAGTTGGATGCTTAGACGACTGAGCTACCCAGGCACCTCACACTTACAGTTTTGTAATTCTCCAGTGTATCTGTGGTTCTATACCCCTAATAATTCCTAATATTTTTTAAGAAGGTCATATGATGTCAGATTAGCAATATGTCCTGCATCACCGGCCTAACTTGGGATTCCAGCTCTGTCACTTACACCTGGGCAAAACAACCTGACTGCTTTTGTTGCAGTCTACATCTGTATAATGGGGAGTATGTCATCCATTTATCAAACAATTTTTGAGGGTCTACTTTGTGTCAGAACTGGTCTGGGTACTGGGACTACAGCAGTGAACAAAATAGAAAAAAATGTCATGTTGGTGCAAACATTAAACAAAATAAAAAAGTAAAACGTCTGGTATTATCTGGGATGTTAGAGACAAGTGCTAAGAAAGAAAAATAAACCAGGGAAGGGGAGAGGATGTATTTAGGATGGTAATAATAATGTCTTTCTTATCAGGTTGACATGAGAATTGAAAGAGAAAATATATGTAAAGTGCTTAGCACATTACCTGACACTTAGTGCCCAATTTAAGCTCTTGTAATAATACTAATCATTTTTTTTCTTGATCAGATTTGTTAGTGGTTAGGACAATTTATTGGGCTTTCAAAGAACCAGCTCAAGTCTAATGTTATTTGATTGGCTTTTTCATTAATTTCTGTTTTTATCTTTCTGAATTCCTTCTTTATATTTTATTTTGGTTTATTTAACTTCCTAAGCTAAATGCTTATTTATGTTCAGCGTTCTTATTTTCTACATATTTTCCTGAGTATTTCTTTGACCATTTCTTTTCCTATACAGTTTTCTTTCTAACTATTATTCATTTTTTAATAGTGTATAATTTTAGTTTTTGTCTTTAATCCAAGAATCATTGAGAAATGCTTTTAGAGTTTCCCAGGTGGTTGGGATATGTTTGATGTTCATGTGAATATGTGTTAGTTTTCCTAGCCGTTTGGTTTTTCTGCCTGGTTTTCTTCATTGTCCTGAGCAATTGTGACTTAAAGGTTTTTGGCTTCTAGGTAGGAATTGTTCTTTGTGATTGAACACATAGTTGGTTTTTGCAAATGTTGCATTGGATATTTAGAAAGTATATATATTCCTGGTTTGTTGACCAAAAAAATGTCTCTGTGTGTGTATTTATAAAGTCAAATGTGATACCTTTGTGATTCAGACTTTGCATATTATTAATTTAATTTTGTTTGCTTCTGTTGACTTCTAAGAGAGAGTTATTAAAGTCATCCACCAAGATAGAGCTTTGACAAATCTTTTAGCACCTTTTATAGATTTCTTTAAAAACATCTTTGTTGAAATAAAATTTATGTACAATAAAATGCACAGATTTTAAGTGTAAAGTTCAATGCATTTTGACAAATACATGTGCTTATATAATCACCGCCCCGATGAAGGTATAGAACATCGCTTTTGCCCTGGAAAATTCCTTTGTCTTGCTCTCTGTCAGTCTCCCATCCAGACCCCAGCAACCACTGATGATTTTTATCACTAAATCTTAGGTTTTCTTGCCTAGAACTTTATTTAAATTGAATCAGTGTACATTCTTGTGTCTGTCTTCTGTTCCGTGTCATGATTTTGAGACTTACCCATGTCGTGTCAGTGGATTATTCATTTCTATTGCTGAGGAGTATACTTAGTTCTGTTTTTTTTTTTTTTTTTTTTTTTTTTTTTTTTTTTCCTACTTGATATATAAAGTTTCGAAACTGTTCTCTCTTATTTGGGAAAAGGCTACTTTAGATTCTGTTCATATCCTCCTGTTGGCAAAAGACATCTGGTCTGTAGTTACATGGGGAAAATATATCCAAGCACCCTGAGTTTTATGCCTGCTTATTAGCTGTCTACACTGATAACAAGTGAGAGAACAAGAGAGAAGACAGATGGTTTGTAGAGCTTTGCTGACTTCCTAAATGGCTCCCTGGCACCGTCATTCTGGCCTCTGCCTCCCTGTGAGCGCTGTGATGGCTGTGCATGTGGAAACGCCCCCGGTAATTAAGATGGCTCTGAAAGATGAAGGCCCAGAATCCCGGCTCTTGCCTTGTGGGGCACCCAGTGTGGAGGGCCTTCATGGAATCAAATCACAGACTTGCCCTTGTCATTGACTCAAAGCCACAGAGCGACTTGAACTCTAATGATTCAGTATTTAAAGAGTTTAAGTAGAGTTGAGGAATATAAGTAGCTACTTAAAGGAAAATACTAATTAATTTTCAATGATTTGGAAATGAATTACTCAGTTTTGTTAATTATCTATAGTTGAACCTTTATTCATTCTTTCTTCTCTTTACTTTTTGGTTCCTTTTTGTTGCTTTTTAGTTCCTTTGACAACAGGCAGAAGAAGTGAAATTCCATTTGCTTTTAGTAGTTATAAAAGAAGGGTCTGGGGCAGGGCGGGAGAATGAAACTTTTCTAAAATAACACCTTTTATGTGGGAGGTACTCTGTAGCTGTGTAACCTTAGGCAAGTCATTTCATATATCTGAACCTTAGTTTCCCCACTGGCAAAGTGAGCCAGATGCCCATCTCCCAAGATTCATAGTATGATTTATACAAATAACATAATTTATATGAAAGTATTTTGTAAATATTAAAGTTCTATTGAAATATATACAGCTATATTTTATTTTTCTGTTTATAACTGTTTCATTCTTTCTTTTTCCTTAAGGAAAGATATTTGATCCCTAACCATAGAGGCACAATAGACTATTCCTGAAATATCATATGGGACATTTTTAAAGCCATTTTAAAAGCCAGCCATTATAAAGTAATCTAATCATTAAATTGTGCTCCCTTCAAGTAAAAAAAAGAAAAAAAGAAAAAGAAAAAAGAAAAGAAAACAAAAAATAAAAGAAAGAAAAACAACTATTTTGAGAAGCTTGTTTAAAGGAGCCCTATTGTGAACACATTGTAAAGTACGGAGCACAGAACTGGGGACTCAGAGTACCTGGATCCTTTTCCTAGTTGGCGTTTTGATCAAGTTAGGTTGTAGGAGCTCTTTCTTTGCCACCTTAGTTTTCTCATTTAGAAGGTGTGGAAAATAATTTGTGTCCTGTCATAGGAGTGCTGTGTTGTTGGTGTTGTTGTTGTTATTATTATTATTATTATTATTATTATTATTATTATTTTACTAAAATGATTTATAACCATTTATCTTAGTTTCTCTGTGAATCCAGATTTCCACATATTGGGCTTGCTTTAAATTATATCCACTTCAGGCACGTATTCAATTCTATTTTTGGAAAGGAACTGAGATATTGTTGTCTTCTACTATAACTTACACGGTCTTTGCAAAATCATTTCTTAACAATTTCAAAGGAATGAAGAGTAGTACATTTAGTTACACAGTTTATGCCGTCGTTCCATTAGAAGCTAAATGACAGGAGTGAGGGTACAGTGACATCAATTGTTAAGGCCTGTACATTATTCATTTAACATCTGCTGTTGGTTCTCTTTTTCCCTGTGGGGGAATAAATTACAACACATCAGCACATTTTTCATGCTTTGTGTTTAAGCATTTAAACTTCATTTATTGTATTATTAATATTATTTCATCTCTGCTTATTTGGCAGCCCCTGAAGTTATCAATGCCCACGACTATAGCCAGCAGTGTGACATTTGGAGCATAGGTGTCATAATGTACATTCTGTAAGTAGCCTGCTAAAGGTACAGTTTAAAATGAATGGATAGTCCCTAACAGTAGAATTATATAGATTTTAAATGAAGATTCAACAATATAGGTTTTAAAAAAATGACTGAAACAACAATTGGGAAGTACTTCTGAAAGCTCTCTTATTAGTTGTTAGCTACATCCATTAGATATTTTTTTAATACTATAAATTTATAACATACAGGTTTGCTTTTCGTTGACCTATAAATGCTAGAATACATGACATGATCTGAGTGAACTCTTGCTTAACACCTCCCTGATCCTTTGCTACAAACCAGAAAGCTTCTTTGTATTTTCTGAAGAGATTCATCAGGTAGAGACAGGTACTGGTACCTGGCACTTAGGCGTATGTGAGGAGTGGACACTAACTAGACAGAGGTTCATCCCGGGATCCAGAGAGTATTCCATAGTTCCTGATCTTCTTACTGCTACCGAAAACATCACTGTTTCTTTCTCACTCTCAGGAGTCAATCAAACCCCATGTCCTGTTCACTTTCCCTTTGAAAAGGAAATTCTTTGGTTTCTCTTCACTGGTATCACTTCTCCTTATGATCTGTCTTCTAGAATATTACATTGTCTTTCTGACTGTTCTTCCTGCCCCTGGTCTCCCTCCCTAGTTCATCCTTCACATTGCTGTCAGGACTTTCTAAATTTCAAATCTGATGGTACTACTTTTCTGATTCACGACCTCTGATAATTCTCCCTTGTTATAGAAAAACGTCAGAGCATCCCAGCACGGCATAAAGGCAAGTTTTTCATGATCTGGCTCCAGAATGTCTTTCCAGTCTTGGGCTAGATGTGCATTTCCATGCACCTACCCTATGCTATAGCCACTCAGGCCACTCTTTCTGATTCACATACCGTGTATCACATGTCTCTGGGTCTTTGCTCATGCAGTTTCTTCTACTTAGAATGTTCTTTTACTTCTCTACTAACCTTTCTCCTGGGTCCTCCAGCTCAAACATTAACACCTTCTGTTTCCCTAACTCCTGCCATCTACCCCAGCAGAGCTACTGCATTCATTATGTATATACATTCCTACACTCCAAAGAGGAGTTAAGGCAACATACAAAAATGCACGCAAAACAACAACACTGAAAGAAAAACGATAACATTTCATCAGGAAAGTTTGCACATGTGTACATTTGATGGAAGTGTTCACTTTCCTGTGTTCTCATAGCACTTTTTAAAACTGTTGGAATATAATTGTTAGAGTATGTTTTTGTTTTCTGTTTTTGTTTTCTTTACTCTAAATTCCATGAAGGAAGAGATCTTATATTATTCATCTTTGCATCCCTAGTATCTGGTACAATGGTAGGTATGTAGTCAGTGCTCAATATATGTTTGTTAAATTGAATTAAAGCGAATTATCTAAGAGGTGTTCTGAAAAGTTAGTGGCCATTGTTCTGCCTCTTGGTGAGTATGAACATTTTTATGCTGATGCAACATTAGTTTTATGGTCATATTGAAGATTTCACTGTGTACTACCTCTTCCAGATCATTTCTAAATATTGACATCACAGTAGTTACATTTTCACAGTTCTGTGAAGTGGAATACACAGGCAGCAGAAATTGGAAGATGTGATTGTAGCTGTAACTCAGATGGTCAACACACATCACTGCTCAGATTGCATGAAGTATAAACATATTCACAAAGTTTTTGATCATTGTTTTGTGCTGATTACAATCATACCATAAAAATTCTGAGCCTTAGTTTTTAATTAAAAATATAACTATTTTAAATTAGTGTTTCATACTTGTAAGAATTTCTAGACAAGTCAAACATAATATATGTAATCTATTATTACACAATTCATGTGGTATTTGCTGCCTTCTTAGTTTGAATTTGTTGTTAAAGAAAGTGATAGTGTATTACATATCTTAAATTTTTCTCCTTCTTAAAGATATAATTTGAATTTTTCTGCTTCAGAGCGTGACTGCATATCATCATAATGACATATTTTTTTCTTTACACTAGACTCTTACTTAGCTAATCAGTGCCTATTCATTAATTTGCCTGAGCCAGTGTTCTTATAGATAATTTCTTTCACCAAGGGCACAAACATATTACCTTCTCCAGGGGGGTTATTTTCTTGTTTATCAGTTACCCCTGATTCATTTCTGCTTAATTGGACAATGATAACGTACTTCCTCAAGGTGAAATTAACATAAACACTCTTCATGGGTACTATCCTCTGCTGTTGTGATTCCTATGAAGGCAACAGAAAATAATAGAAAGGCTTCAAGAGGCATTTTTCATGTCTTGGATTCCCTTTTCTGGATGTGCAGAAAATTGCTGTCATAAAATTTCATATGCTGCTGATTGACCAACCATTAGATACATTTTGTGTAAGTAAAATTGCAAAGGACAGAAAAAAAGTGGAATTTTTTAAAAAGTAGCCCTTAAGCTATAGTGGCATGCGAGTCGGGCAATGCAGGGGCAGCTAAGAAATTGGTGAATGTGCATATCACTGGTTGTTAACAGACTCAATGAGCTGGACTCTTGCTGTCCTGTACTTGTTATAATAGATAGTAATTGTCCGTAAGACTATTTATCTAGCTTTTTTTTTAATTGCATTTTGAAACTAAACAATAGGCAAATAAGATCAGAGAGAGAAGGGTCAGAATGAGCTGGAGAAATAAAAAGTATTAAAATAAGAGACTGTAGAACAACTTGATAAGTACTGGTCTTTTAACAAGAAGCTATATAAATGAAGAGTTCTCTTTTCTAGCCTAGGTTGATCAACTACAAGGATGAAAGCAACTTTTTTCCCTACAAAATCATCATCACCATCCTCCTTATCATGTGAATTATTTATCAAATTTAGATTTATTCAAAAATGATCATAGTGAAGATTTTAAAAGAACTCCACAGTATAACTTTAAAAGTCAAAGTAAAAATCTAATTGCTGGGAAACTTAGAGATCATTATACTTATGGACATAATAGACTAGCATTTGTGGAGTGTAATATAATTATGCCATTTTATTCTTTCAGTAACAAAGTGGAAAAATATAATCCTGAGAGTTGAAGAACAGGCATATGGTATTGCCTATGTGATGAGCCCAGGTTCAGCTCCTGTCTGGTTGTCATTGGCAAAATCTGGTTGTTGTCTATAGGGTTGTACTCAGAAGTTGGGACTGACAGTAAAGATGATGGGTAACATTTGTTGAGAATATATTATGAAGAATTGGAACTCAGCTTTTACACGAGTTCTTATAGTTTTGGTCTGGATTACTGACTGAAGCATAGGCTTGCCGTGCTCTTTGTAAAATATAGTACAGTACTTCCTTTGAAAAGAGTCTGAAGACACATAGTCCCTGTATTACAGAATGTGCAACAAGCCATGCTGACTTTATATATACTGCCAATGGTTTTTACTGATGTTGATGATTACGTAACTCAGCTTTCATTCTAGACTGAAGGGTCAAATCATCGTCATCTGACTTTCCTCATCCAGGTTGTCTTCCTTTTGTATACCAGTTTTGAAGAGTTGTGGTGATTTTAATATATTTTTGGCTTTGACTCAGAGCCTGTACAGCCCAGGGTTTTTCTTGGTTTATTCTTACTAACATTTGTGTAGTATTTTACCATGGATACAACTCTCATTGGACTCTGAAAACTCAGTATATTTTCCTCAAATTTCAGTTTGAATTATGTCCTTTAAAGCATTACATTATCCTCTCTCACGTTGAAGTTCACCTCCACTATTATTTGCGTACTTAAAATCTCACACCTTCCTGTATTTTGGCCCTATTTAAGCTTAGTTCTCCCCCATCTGGAACACCTTTGGGCCATTTGCTAATCTGGAGATTTCAAGGTCTATAAAGAGGGCCTAGCACTGATCTTGCAAAAACCCTTTTCTCCTGTTTGTACATCTAGAGAGATCCCCACCTCTAGCTATCCTTTATTTAAATTTGAAGCACCACTATTTCCAAGTCCTATGGAAACTTAATTTTTAATAGCATCATTTTGATCATTTTTTAAAAATCTAAACAAAATCATTGCCTTTGTTGTAGATTATGTGGAGAACCACCCTTTTTGGCAAGCTCAGAAGAGAAGCTATTTGAGCTAATAAGAAAGGGAGAACTACATTTTGAAGATCCAATCTGGGATTCCATAAGTGATTGTGGTAAGTATAGATCTGTTATTATTTACTGAAGGAAATCTATGTAATATAAGAAACTTGGCCAGTAATTCAAATACTCGAGATCTGTTTAATCATTATATTTACTCGTAGAAATAAACACTATTTACTTGTAGAAATAGTGATCTCTTCACTGTGATTGTTGTTGTCAAAACTTCCAACAAAAACAGAAAATACACAGTAAAAATTGAAGAGGAAATTGCCAATCATCTAGCTCATTTTTACTATAGACCATAAACCAGCTAATCCAGGCCATAAAACCTCACTGTAGGCCTGTGAAACATTGTTTATTAACCATTTATACTGATGATATTTATTTTATAATTGCAGTCATTCCCTCAGGTCACATAGACCTTATTCTAAATAAACTGGAAAATGTATTAATTGTAGCTAAAATAAGATTTTCAGGATTTTCCCTTATTTGCAGCTAAAAGTGTGTTGAAACAACTTATGAAAGTAGACCCTGCTCACAGAATCACAGCTAAGGAACTTCTAGATAACCAGTGGATAACAGTAAGTGATAGTATTACTTCTTTTTTTTTCTTTTTGACGTGCTATCATTGCTTTTTTATTTTTTTTAATTTGGCCTTGTCATTTATGTATAGTCTTAAAATAGTCAATTAGTTTCATCTTATGACAAGTTAAAAGAAATTATTGAACCTTAACACATTTCTCAAATGGATATTTTCAAATTATTAAAACTATTACCACAGTTGTTTCTATATGTTTACAGAGGTTTAAATGAACTCTGCTTTGCTCCATGCCATATCAAGTCCTGTAGAAGAGAGCTGAGAAATGCCCGTTATGAAAACTGGAATATTGAAGCAGTCTGTACAGTTCAGTGACGTAAAGCACTGGAACTGTCCGCTTCTCTTTCAGCTCTTTGGATAGAAGGAATCTTTGGGGACTTGGAAAAACCAAGATCTCCTAACAGTGGCTGTTACCTGGCCTGAAATTTTGAGTAATTATTCATTTGCGTATTGCTTTCCCCCATTAGACTAACTGCCTTCAGCATAGACCCTATATCTTACCATGCTTTGTATTTCTGTACTGAGAACATTACCTGGTCACAATAGGAACCTTGGAAGAAACAGCTACTTACCTCTTAATATTTATTCTCTTTTTATTCTCTGGTATGAGGATCCTCACTTGCAGCTGGAAACGTTGCTATCTGGTCTTCTTTGCTAGTCATCCCCAGTTTTTGTTAGTTATCATGTTGGGGGAAGTAGGAGCAATTGTTGGGAAATGTCCTTAAATGGAAAGAGTATGGCATTCCTCATACCCATCTTCTTTGTTTGACTAGCCACATTAGACCATAAAGTGGAATCCATAAACTGAGGATGGCAAAGCAATAAGATGCAAGGAATCAGGGCTCTTAGTTCACAGAGCTGCCATGCCAGCCTTTCACTGCCCATCTCCAGAGATTTTCATAAAAACTGGAAACAAACTTCTGCCATCTTGAAGACACTGCAAAATATGTTGTTGAGCCTAAGACCAACTAATAATTGCTGAATGAGTGAATGATTCAATAAATGAGTAAGCCTGTAGGTATTTCAGAAAATGTTTTAAGAACTGAGATTGGAGGGGCACCTGGGTGGCTCAGTCGGTTAAGCATCCGACTTCGGCTCAGGTCATGATCTCACGGTCCATGAGTTCAAGCCCCACGTCGGGCTCTGTGCTGGCAGCTCAGAGCCTGGAGCCTGTTTCGGATTCTGTGTCTCCCTCTCTCTCTGGCCCTCCCCCGTTCATGCTCTGTCTCTCTCTGTCTCAAAAATAAATAAACATTAAAAAAAATTTTGGGGCGCCTGGGTGGCGCAGTCGGTTATGCGTCCGACTTCAGCCAGGTCACGATCTCGCAGTCCGTGAGTTCGAGCCCCGCGTCAGGCTCTGGGCTGATGGCTCAGAGCCTGGAGCCTGTTTTCGATTCTGTGTCTCCCTCTCTCTCTGCCCCTTCCCCGTTCATGCTCTGTCTCTCTCTGTCCCAAAAATAAATAAACGTTGAAAAAAAAAAAAAAAAGAACTGAGATTGGAGATTTCTAAATACACATAGGAAATATTGCTAAGCAGTATTCATCTATGAAGAAATTATTGTACATCTATTATTTGCTAGACACTGTGCTAGGTACTGGAGATACATGATATATGTACCTTGCAGTGGTATTGTCGCAAGGTGATGGTGGCTTGGACAGGGTGGTAGCAATAGAGTTGGAGAGAAATACATGTGACATGTTTTTTAGGTATAATTGACAGGACTTGGTGGTGGATTAGATGAGGAAAGAGGTTAAGGGAGGAGTCAAGGATGACTTCCAGATTTTTTTTTCCTGCGGGGAGGATGGTGACTCAAGAGTTCCATATTAGATGTGCAAAGCTTGAGACACCTAGCATCCAGGTGGAAATATTAAATAGATCATTGGATATGTGAGTCTGGAGCTAGGGAAGTCCAAGCTGGAGATAGAAGTTTGGGAATCATGAGTATATAGATGCCATGTAAAGTCATCGGGCTGAAGAGATAAATTGGTAAGAAGATACAGATAGAAAAGAGAAGAGGCCCCAGCACCCTGCCATGAGACACTACAGCATTCAGAAGAGGAGCAGCTAGCAGTGGGGGCTATGGAGGGATAGCAGGTAAGAAGAGGAGAAAATCGTGAGAGTGGTGCCAGAGAAGTTAAGTGAGAGGATTGACAAAGTGAGAGCTTAGCTCCCAGGTAAATGCTACTGAGAGGTCAAGGCGAGATGAGTTTCCATTAGACTGGCCAACAGAGGGGTTGGTGGTGACCCAGGTCAGTTTAGATATGTATCAGAAATTTATAGTGATGTCACTGTTCCTTTCAATTCTCTCATTTTCCTTTGGCAATTTGTAATCATTTTTTTGAATAATATTTTTTTTTCCTTCAAGGGCTCAGAAACTAGTCTTCACTGAAAGCTGATTTCTATCTGCCCTCTTCTATGAATGTGTTGATCTCTGAAATGCTTCTGTGCAATAAGTTTTTCTGGCCTGAAGTAATTGTGCAAATGAGCTAGCAGCTAGATCATGGCAAAACTGTTCTGAGTAGATTTGTAGTACAGCAAAATCAAAAACTGTAAAACAGATGGTGTGCCTTAGAAATCTATCTCTTTTCAGCATCACACAACATTCGGGTTTGGCCATTTAATTATTTGTTTTCTAATTAGTACAACTTTATTTCTGGCTTTGGTCATTTTTCCAGAAGTCTCCATTTTTGAGCCTCTGTAACATTTGTCTCTATGTAGTCTTTGCCAAATGGGTAGAGAAGTGACAGATAGCGTGTACTATATCAGACTACCCTAAGGAGTTCAGTGTATGAAGTTTGGAATATGGGCATTTCATAAACTTCTGAAAGGCAAAAAGACTCTTTTCTTCTTAGCTACTTGAAGTCTTCCTATAATTCATATCCTCTGTTTGAAATAATCTAAAAAGAATACGTTACTTCTCTCAGTACCTGGCTGCTTTATAAGCAGAGCTTATCTTTTGCAATATCTAACATGTAGAGACATTTTTTTCAAAGGGCTTTATTGGATAAAAAGTTTTTATGGTTCAGCCTATGTATTGTGCATTTTGAAATATGGTATATATCTGAAAAGTATTCTGAGAAAAATAGTCATGGTTTCTCTATGTACATTTAAGTGAATGGAACTTAAAATAAATACATTTGTCATCCTGATTTCAAAAGTCAAAGATTAGATGTAAGGAAAACCAGCCAAGAAATGCTTTTCCTACAAAGGAAGAGTTTGATGATGGCTCCTACTGCCAGGAGTGTGCCTGGGATCCTCTTGTGTCTGTTTCTTCCTTTCTGTTCTCTTTACTCTCAACGTGGTTCAGAAGTTTACTCCTTCTTATTAGGTAATTACAGTTGCCACTTGGTATTCCTTCAAGCCCCCTTCTGATAACTAACACCAAGAATTTGCATGTTTAACACGTTTCCAAGGTATTTTTAATGCCTACTTATATTTAAGAACCCAGCTATAATTTAAGGAAACATTTTATTCTATGGCTTGTCATAAAGTAGTTTCCAGATTTGAGCCCTGTTGGTATTCTTCATACATTCAGTAATTCCTTTGACCGAGTGTGTGTGTGTGTGTGTGTGTGTGTGTGTGTGTGTGTGTGTGGTTCTACCATGTTAGGCTAGGTAATAAAATATAATTGAAGATATATAAAGATATATAAAAATATAACTAAGGATAGATAATCTGATATAAGGAACTTAGAATCTGGTAAGGGAGACAAGCTATGTGTAAGATACAATACAGGGAAGAAAATAATAAATGACATGAGAAATTGCCAAATGACCAGAGGTATAGAGGCAAGCAAGTGTAAAATAAGGAAGTTCAATTTGACTGGCAGATAAAATGCTTGAAGGAAAGAAGTGGGAAATGAACTTTTAAAAAAGGAAAGAAAATTGTGACAGGACGTGAATCCCAGTCTAAAAAAGTTTTAACTTGCTGTCATAGATAGTTGAGAACAACGTATACTCTTTGAAATGAAGGAAATTATTGTTGTAGTGCATCAGTCTTGCAAGGTGGCTTTTTAAAAATGGCACAGCAGTCATTTAAATGTCTTTATTGATTTTAACAAGTATCTTTGGATTTTAATCCGTCAGCCATTATAGGGGTACAAAGATAAATAGAATGCAGCCTCTCACCTTGAGTAATTTACCACAAAGTACAGTGTACTTTTGCTTTATGGTCACACTTTGTGAAGGCACTTGTCATCAAAGTGTGGGGGCTAATTTTAAAATGTTTTTTCTAGTGTGTGAACAAGACCCTTGTTCATTAATTTACAAGCTGTTATCCAGGTTTTGGTCATCAGCTTTTGACCTTTAGCCTTAACATACACACTCTACGTTAAGAGAGTGAAACTTTTCTGATGCCTGATTGTTGGGCATTTTTTCTCTACTGTATATTTTCATCCCAATATGTTAAGACTCTTACCTTTATTTTACTATATTTAGTTATTCTTAAATTGTGAATTACCTTATGTGTATGAATATGTTGAGGCCCTATTTAATGAAGGTTTTTATGAAAATTATGTTACAAAGGAACCCATGAGCCAGGAGCCTTGAGGATTTATTCAATATGCAATGATTGATATACACTTAATAATTCAATAAATATTTATTGAATACTACTATGTGCTGTGGAGGACACAGGGATGAGTCTGGCACAGTCCCTGCCCACAGGTTGCCCGCAACCTAGTAAAGGGTTTAAAACAAAACTACAGGCAGTGAATGAATATATAATAATGTGTATGTATGTGTATATATTACACATAGTATATAATAACATGTATTCTTTATGTACTATACAACATAGTGCTGTATAATATTATATAATATGGTAAGATAAAACATATGATGTAGTAATGTGGTGCTATATAATGTAGTGGTAGTACTAGATTTTTAAGAAGAGAGCTAATATTCCCTTTAGCAGATTATGGAAACTATTTAAAGTGAAGGTAATATGTGATCTGGCTCTGAAAGAATAGGTGAAAGTAGAAA